GTGCTGCACTGTGTGTGTTGTTTCAGAGCAGGATGGGAGCCCACACATGTGAACAAGCTGCTGTTAGGACTCAGACTCCCAGGGGGCAGCAGGAGGTCAGAACCAGTTTGTAGATTAGTTTGTTGTCCTGCTTGAACCAGGTCTCCGGTCCATTTGAAGGAAGGGGAGGGTAACCCACCGGGCCAGGAGCAGAGCAGTCTGAGAGAGGTGTAGTTCAGGGCCGCCTCCACAGAGCAGGAGGGGGAACCATCGGGGGGGTCTGCAGGGACAACATGTAGCGTAACAGAGCAGTGATGCACAAAGTGGGGGTTTAATAAAAGCATCAGGGCCACAGACGGTTCTAACAATTTACAGGATATTTTCAAGATAAATAATACATTTAAAAGTAGGGATGCACGATATTGGATCTTTGGCCAAAATGTTAAAACTTATTTGGACGATAACCGATACAGATATTTTATATACTTTCTGAACATAGTCCTCTTATTTAGGCTTATTGGTTACAAAAATTGAATAGGAGCTGGTGACATATATTCAGTAACAGCCATATGAAATGCATAGCACTTTGACTTATATTAAATAAAACTGTTAAATATTATTTATTAGCATTAGTCACCTGCGATGTTGTCTCGCTTGTCGAGGCTTGTTCCAGGTTCTTAGCTGTAGTGTGGGATCATCTGCACTCCTGTGCATGAAGGACTTAAAGTTCAAAGTTTTTGTCTATCCATTGTGCTGTAAAGCCCCCAGTATACTCCTGCGTATGTCCATACGCAGAGGTATGCACGTGCGTACGCGGAGGTACAAGCGTACCCCGCAGGGCATGTCTGTGCAAAGCTCAATTTTTACGACCGCATACGCGGTGTCGCACAATAAACTGCCCAGCGACGCACTGTTTTGTATGCGACACCAATGTATTAAATTCCCATTCTTCATCCCTGATCTGGCCTTTTCTTTTGTTTTGTTTTTCCAAGAGGCAGTGATCTCTTCCTCCTCCGTTGATGCCATGACTGAAATGGTGAGAAATGAAGGAATTTGTCACGAGTGAATTAAACTCAGGTCCAGCGTGGCTGCGGGAGGGTCTGGAGATTTCCTGGTGTGCTGGTCTGATGTGTGGGCTGTAGAGTGTTGTTGTTTTTGATATTTTTATTAACAACATATAAACACAGAACATCGCTGCGGCTGAGGCTGCCAGCGCTCGTTTCTTTTTCTTTTTTCCGACCTGTCAATCAATCCAGTAGGCGTGTCAGCAAATGACCAATCGGCGACCTCAATTTGTCCCGAAGGTAAATGCCCCTTGTCTGTGAAGCTGCTCTGCAGCTGCTCAGGGTGTACGCTCGAGTTCGATGTCTGAACTCTCTGCGTACAGTACACGCGTACGTCCGTTCACGCGTACGTACGCGTGAACGGACGTACGCGGTAGTATACCGGGGGCTTTAGACTAATCATGCTAACAGGGCTAACACGACGTCCAATCATCTGTGGTAAAACTCACCCAAGTGCTATTGGCTATTAGCTTCTCAATTACATCGGAAATGACAGCTTGTACCTCAGGTAAGGCTATGTCGGAAAAATATCTTTGACTGGGCACGATATAGTGAGGCTCAACGTAGTCCAAAAATCTTCGGAATCCGACTTCCTCGATGAACAAAAGAACTTCCACACCACCAACATTTTGACTTCTTCCTCTCTGCCCTGATCAGAGCCGGTAGGTGCATGTGACGTCATCATGTTGTGCTGCCGCTGCAGGCACCTTGTCACTGGGTTGTCATACAAAAACAGGGCCTTTTATATCGGTGAGATATTTTGATGGAATGGTCAATGTTCGATATTTAACTTGAACGCTAATATCGGCCGATACCATGCCGAAAATATCATGCATCCCTATTTAAAATATATTTGTTGCTTTAATCAAACATCTGACTTGTCAATCTTTTTATGAGATGAAGTTAGTTTTTAAAAAGGATTTTGTTTATTGGTAAACACAATGTAGATAGCAAATAAAGAGAAAAACAAAAATCAGAGACTGAAGACTACTTCCAGCCTGCCTGTCTCGTGGCTCCTGGAAACGATGTACCTGTCAGATTTACACCAACTCCTCCGGTGCTCCAAACAGTAGATTGGGTCTGCGGTGCCGCCATTCTCTGCTGTTTGTGTGTCTAAATGTGGGAGTGTGTTGAGGTCTGAGTGTGTCAGAGTGGTAACAGATGAGCGAGCAGGAAAAATGAAGAACAGCAAAAAACCAAACCAGCTCAAGAAGTTCAGGTGTGGAGGAACCACGTCTGTAGCTCTGCGGTTTGCAGACTTCAGACAGACTGGAGGGTTGACAGAAGAGCAGGTTGGAGTCAAAGGTCACACTCACAGTAGACGGTCAGGCTGATGGTTTTTTTGGAGCGCGTGTTCAGGTAGGTGTTCTGTGCCAAGCAGGCGTAGTCTCCGGTGTGCATCCGGAGGATCTTGGTGATGGTGTACTGCGGTCCGGCGTACACCTGCGAGTTGTTGTAGAACCAGACGTACTGACTGGCTGGGTTGGACTGAGCCTGACACATCAACGAAACGGTCTCTCTTTCCAGAGCTGAGTACCCGCGCTCTGTTATACTGTACGGAGTCACGTCTATCTGAGGAACATCTGGGCCATCTGTGAACACAAACGTGTTCAATAAAAGAAGCTGTGGCTCTAAAAGGAGCGGGACGGCCCCGTCAGTACTCACAGATGGTGTCCAGCCATAACCGGCTGGACGTCTCACTGTTGACGGCGTTGCTGGCCACACATCGGTACCAGCCGGTGTGGTTCCTGCTGATGTCGCTCACGTTGATCTGGTTGCTGCTGCCTTGTGCAAAGACCGTGATGTTTCCCGCGCGGGTTTCATGTTGCCACACGTACTGGATCGGCTCTGTCCCGTTTTCCAGATTGCACCTCATCCACATGGTGGATCCTTCCACTGGAGACACGTCACTCAGCAGGAGGTAAGGGTTGGTGACTGGGACTGTATCAGAACAAAGATAAACACAGGTGGACTGCTGTAAAACCACTGGCCCATTCCGTTTGATCTGTACCATGCAAAAATGAGTGTGGCTCTTTGTTGGTAAGAAGGTGGAGCGGGAAACTACCACAGACAATAAGATTGCTATAAGATTGTTTTACAAACTTCAGGGAATTATGTTTATTAAATAAATCACGGACTTGTTTACTAAGCTGAGTTGCATCATTTGTTCTTGACATGATGGAGCTGAGACCAAGGACTGTTTCAATAAAATGGCTGTGGCTTTTGTTAGTAATCACCACACCTGTTTCTACAGCAATGATTTTTTTCTGTCTGAAGTGTGAATGCTGAATCAGCTTTTTGATTTTTTAAATGATTTTAAGTATTTGCAACTTTTTTCCCTTTAATTTTTAGGGAGGGTTTTTGCTAAAAAAAAAAGTTTCCTCGTAGAAACACATTGAGCTCTCTCTAGTTCTTCTGTTCTCTGACCTTCACTGCAGTATTCTTGCTCTATGTTTGTCTTCTATGCTCCTTTTAGCTTTTAAGGCCTGTTTTACTTGTTTTAGCTTTTAGCAACAGATTTGATGATTTTAGCTTGTTGTAACTTTTACATTTTCTTTACATCCGCTGCCCTGAAATGTTTTAAGAAGTATTTTATTTCTCTTTTGTTTTGAGCTCATTCTGTCTTCTTGACTCGGTGTGAATAAAATATGATCATATTATAAATTATTATCAGGCCAAAAGAGGGAAATGTTTAACTGAAATATGTTACCATGAAACTTTTGCTAAATATCAGTAAGACCTTCACAGACAGTATGTCTTTAACTTCATGCATTTTATTTAAATTGTGTGACCAACATGCAAATCAGCTTTTTCCTAGTAACACATGTTGACACCCATCTATCCATCATCCATCCATCCATTATCACCATCCAGTCATCCATCCATTATCATCCATCCATTATCATCCATCCAGCCATTATCATCATCTAACCA